TCAGCGTCTGTGCATGCATGCGACTCATTGCCCGAGCGATTGCCCTGTGCGTTTCATTTCTCCTCTTCCCTTGCTCCTCAACTCGCGTTTCCCCTCTCACCCCGATCTCATCCACACTTTCCTCCCGCTCTCTGCCTCACCTCTCTCCCACCTGCCATCTCCCCCCCCCCTCCCTTCCTCTACTCCAGATCCCAGCATCTCAGCTCTTCAACTTCCACACCCCTCGCACCAGCTCAGACGACCCCATGCTGAGTCCTACACTGCAGACCGCTCCCACATGCCCCTGCACGGACACGGGAGAGGGGGGAGGGGGGAGGCAGGGGGGGAGAGGGAGAGGTGGAGGGGGAGGGGGCAGAGAGGGGAGGGGGAGCGGGAGGGGAGTGAGTGACGGTGATGCTATGGCAGCGAGTATTGAGTTGGCGATGGTGGATGCGGCACTCCGGGAGTCAGCTGCTGCTGCTGCTGCTGGGGCGTGGGCAGGAGGGGTAGCAGGGGCGGAAGCAGCGTTGAAGCCTTCCCTTCCCTCTCCGCCGCCTCCGCGAATGCTAGGGGAGGTGTTGAGAGCAGCGGTGATGGCAGTGGTACCGCTGGGGTGCTGGTGGTACTGGTGGTACTGGTGGTGCTGGTGGGTATGCGGACAGGGCGCTTTCAGGGGCTACACCAGGGGCGGTGGTGGACACCCTGTTTCCTCGCTGCCCAATGCTGCCGGGGCTGGGAGGAAGAAGAACAAGGGCAGGCAATGGGCGGCAGCCGGAGCGGGAATCGGCACGTCAGCAGGTGCAGCAGGCAGCAGCAGCGGCAGCAGGGCGAATTCAGCAGCAGCGGGTGGTGGCCGACCATGGCAGCAGTTCTCATGAGTGATCCGGGCTGGAGCAGCATCACTAACCGGGGCGTTACAGCAGGAGGAGGGGGAGGAAGGGGGGGAAGGAAGAAGGGCAGTGGGTGGGCGGGGTTGCCTGCACGAGGGGCAAGAGGCGGCATCAAGTCCTCAACGCTGCCGGACCTATCATTTCCCAAGCCAGCACGGGAGGCTCAGGGTGTGGCGCGAGGGCCGGGATGGAGTGGTGGTGGTGGTGGTGGTGGTGGTGAGGGAGTAGTGGAGATGGATGGGCGATGGTGGGTGAGTGGGAGAGCATGGAGGTAGAGTGGGGATTGGGGTGGGCGGTAGTGACAGTGGCTTGGCTGTGACTCCCTCTGCGTTCTCCCTCTTGTCTGCAGGGCAGGAGGAGAGCGAGGGGGAAAGCGAGGGAGAGAGCGAGGGGGAGAGTGAGGGAGAGGGTGAGGGGGAGGGAGATGATGGGAGGAGTGACAGGCCAGGAGGGAGGGGATTGTTGCCGTCACGCACGTCGTCATCACCATCACTATCATCATGGGCATCAGGAGCAGCAGCGGGAGCAGCAGCAGGAGGAGCAGCGGCACGGACAGAGAACGGTTATTCAAGGAGCGAAGGGAGCAGCATCCTGGACCGTCTGCAGCTCGACGAAGCGGAGTTCCGAGCCGCAAACCGAACAGTGTTGGAGGAGATACGGTCGCTGGGAGGGGACAAGGCCAAGCTGGAGGACTTCAAAGACAAGTCGGTGCAGTTCAAGTCGGGTGGGATGCTGACCGTGTGTTCTACGCACACGTGTTCCGCCTGGGATTGAGCCACGTGGTGCCCCAGCTCGCGCGGCTGTGCCCGGATGTGAGGAAGAAGGAGGAGCTGCTGCAGGCACACGCGCAAAGGAGGCGATGATGCGCAGAGGGGGAGGAACGGCTTCTGCTGCTGCTGGTGCTGGTGATGACGCAGCAGCTCCTGTGGTGGTGATGGTGGTGGTGGTGGTGGTGGTGGTGTGTCTGGTGTGGCTGGTGAGTGGTGCAGTCAGGCAGAGCAAAGCAGGGTAAAAAGGGCGGGGTCGCTTCATTTTCCTCCTCCTCCGTCTCTACCTCCTCTTCCTCCTCATCATCTCCTGCCCCTTCCATGTCATCCCCGCCCAACCGTTCCGCGCTGAGTGCTGCTCCTGCGCCGCGTAACGCCAAGCCATCTGTGGACCAACCGGAGAGCTCCAGCTGGGCGTGTGGCATCTGCACGCTCATCAACGACCCCTTGGCTCTTTGCTGCGCTGCCTGTGGCTCTGTCAATCCCAAGGCATGCAAGGAGGCAGCGACAGGGAGGGCGGAGCAGCAGGAGGGGAAGGGGAGGGGGAGGTGGGGGTGGGGCACAGAGGGGCAAGGGACGCAAGAACAAGGGGATCACGGTGAGGTTGGGTGATGGCTCTGCTGCCGCGCTCCTTGGTCGCATGGATGGCAGGGAAGCAGAGGGGCCGCCTAGTAGCTGGGCTGCTGCTGCTGGCGCTGGTGGTGGTGGTGGTGGTGGTGGAGGTGCATGGGGTGGCAGTGGTAGAGGTGCCTGGTAAGAAGCTTGATGGCCAGAATCGTGGAATTAATGTATGAAAGTGCCCGGGAACTCTTTAGCACTAGTGATTACTGACTGGAGGTATTTGTTAGACTCTTTTGATATGTTGACTAACTTACCACATTGTGATTCGTCAAGTTTACACTCAATGCAGTCTAGTTGATCTGTTTATTCGACTTATATCCTAAACCCTCGGGTTTTCCGCGATGGGGTGGCGTTCCGCGGAGACACCATTTCTGTTGCCATCGCCGCCATCCACACCACAGCTCCCCCCTCCCCTCCCAATTCCCCGCCCCCGAACCTCCAGTTTCGGTTCTCCCTGCCAATTCCTGCCTGCCTTGAGGGATAAATTCCTGTCCCCCCATGCCTTTCTCTCAACTTCTAGATAGTTCGTGTTTATGTTGTGCCCCCACATCTCCTTGCTGAACCTCTCTTGGAGACGTAACGCATTTGCCGCCTTTCAACCCGATCGCGTGCCGTTCAACAAGGGCGTTCTTTGAACCGGTAAGCCGCCTTTTCGCGTCCTCGTTTCGTTTCTGTTCATCCGTTCTCCTCCTGGTCGGCTCCTAGCTTAATCATCTGCATCTCCCTCCGCTCGCCCTCGGGTTGAGTTCACGGGAAGAGGCACTCGCTGGAGACGAAGAGCGTCCAGAGGCTCTTAAAACCCCGCGCGCCCTTTCTGGTGGCCGACTGAGGTTACGCAAGTCTCGACATCGTCTAGTATTCGACGTTTCGCGTCTCATTGTGTGTTCGCGGTTGCCCCTCTGCTATTGAATTTCCATTTACATATAACAGGGTGTTCCGTGGCAGTTGCCTTTCTGCTGCTCCCTTCGATGCTGAATCTCTCACTGCTTCCCACTGTGTGATCGATTGCCCTACTCCCGTCTGCAGTAAGTCCAGGCCAGGGCTTGTCTGACAACGGACGGACCTACCTGCATATGGCGAGGACAGTTCGGGATTAGGCACACAGTTAGCAGAACAAGTTATTTGGTTTGTCATTGTTTCGTAAATATGGTAATTTCGTACATTTCGAAGCTCCTTCTAACAGTCACGAAGAAAAAGACTTGTCAAGTGGCTGTCTTCCATAGAGGTTCAGGGAGTCATAAAGTCACCAGTCCTAACCATTGGACATGAAGGGATGTCCTCAGGAGAGCTGAGCTCCATATATCCACCTTCCCAAGAGAAAGCTATCAGAATTGAAAATTGAATTGATGGTAAAGTGAGAGTACACACAAATATACCTAAGTGTTGTACCCTCTAAGAGGTAACCCTATACAGTCTATACAAACATGACAAATACAGATGTTTGACACACCCCCTAGACTGCATAGGGGAATACCCTAAACAAGCAGCTCAGGGCGGCACTACTAGTCCAACCTCTGAGACAAGGGTCTGAGAGACCAGTCAGAAGGAGTACAGACAAGGCAAGAACAAGAGCAGGGCGGCACTACTAGTCCAGCCACTGGGAGAGGACACAAGTCCAGTCTGAGTATACATATAAAGGACAGTACAAAGTCAAGGTCCTAGCAAGTGAGAGGCTACAGGAACTAGACCAAGCTGTACACAGTGCCGCTGATGATCTTTAGGCGCAAGCGCCTTCGTAAAGATATCAGCCGTGTTGGCACCTGAGGCCAAGTGTACTACGCGAGCCTGACGTCGCTGCTGTAGCTCACGCAGGAGGAAGTACCGCAGCTGAATGTGCTTCGCTCTGCCCTCGAGTCGAGGCTCCTGACACAGGAGGATCATGGCCCTGTTGTCAGCGAACAGGACCGGGGCAGAGCTAGGCCGCTCACCTAAGTCAGTGAGCAAGAAGGTCAGCCAGCGGAGCTCCTGTGCCGCCATGGCACCAGCGTAGATCTCAGCCTCACAGCTGGACTGTGCAACAGACGAGGAGCGAGTAGCTCTCCACGAGACGGCACCTGAGCCAAGGCTGAAGCAGTAGCCCTGGGTAGACCTGAGTGTCTCAGCGTCGTCTGCCCACGAAGCGTCTGTGTGTCCAGTAAGGACCACTGGCCTGCGTCCTCCTAGCACTAACCCCATGCCCGATGTACTAGCAAGATAACGCAGAACCCTCTTAGCGGCAGACCAGTGCTGCGGTCGGTGTCTGCCTGTGGCCACAAAGCGAGCCAGGATGCTGAGAGGGTATGCGAGATCTGGGCGAGTGCAAGTCATCAGGTACATGAGGCAACCCACCAGCTCTGCGTAGGGGCCGCTGGGCTCTACCAACTCCTCAGACTGGAGCGGAGAGTCTGTGGTCTACAGGCAGAGGGGTGGGCTGTGCAGAGGAGAACTGAAGGCTGAACCTCTGAAGGACCTGGCGCACCAAGTGTGACTGAGTCAGGGTGATGGTGCGCGCAGCTCTGTCCCTGGAGATCTGCAAGCCAAGGTAACGGCGCAGTTCTCCAAGGTCAGTGCAGGTGTGTCTCTTCAGCAGCTCTGCCTTCACGGAGGCCAGTGCGTCCCTGTCTGCTGTGGCAAAGACCAGGTCGTCGACGTAAACAAGGATGTAGAACGGAGTCTGGCCAGCACGAACGAAGAGTGAAGGGTCTGCGGAAGACGGAAAGAACTGCAGGTCAGCAAGCGTAGCACGAGAGTGTCGTGCCACTCACGGGGAGCCTGGCGCAGGCCGTAGACGGGGCGCCGCAGGAGCCACTGGGTCCCAGGAGGGAAGGTGCCAGTAAAGCCCGGAGGGCGACGCAGGTAGACCTGCTCGTGTAGGCTGCCCTGAAGGAAGGCAGTGGAGAAGTCGAGGGAGTGAAGCTCGTAGTCACGCTGAGCAGCTAGGTGTAACAGAACCCGAAGAGTAGTCATCTTCGGGGTCGGAGCGAAAGTCTGGAAGAAGTCCACCCCCTCGCGCTGACTGAAGCCTCTAGCCACATAGCGCGCCTTGAAGACAGGCGGCTCTCCAGGAGGGCGCTTCACCTTGAAGAGCCAGCGGCCATCGACTACGTTCACCCCAGGTGGGGGAACTGCGTCGACGAAGGTGCCGGTGGATCTCCAAGATGCCATCTCCTGCTCCATGGCAGCTATCCACTGCGAGGCCCAGGGTCCCGAAGTCGCCTCAGCGTAAGTGCGAGGGGTCGGGATGTCGAAAGCGTCTGGGTCACCCTCAGGGACTAGCAGCATGGAACAGAGATGGGGAGCAGCCTCGGAGAGGAAAGCAAGCTCGAACTGGCGGTCCTCCAGGACGTCACTGCCAAGGGCAGGAGCACCCCCGACAGACGGAGGACAGGCAGGGTCAGAGACCAGAGCGGTGGCGTAGTCAAGGCGGCGGGTAGAGGCGAAGTCAGCGACAGCAGCGACAAGAGCGTCAAGGCACGAGACCGGAACAGACGGGTCGGTAACGAGAGAGGCAAGGACCCGAGGAACGAGAGGACGAGCGGCACGAAGGTAGTCGGACAGCGGGGGGGCGCAACAACAAGGGAGGACGGAGGAGGCGACGGCAGAAGGGGAGGACGAGACGCGTGGGAACGAAGCAACATAGGGTGGGAGCGCAAGACAGGCGAGG